ATGTCTTGAATATATTGTATATCAAACATTATTTCTATATATATCTTAATTATTGTGCCGTTGTAAATCTTGTAATGATTACTAACAGTATATTGACAATGTTGCAGCCTATGGGCTTGTAGTATGGGTGTGTAAAAATATCAGAATATCAATATATCATGATACTTAATTAAAAATAAATCTATTTCATATGAACTTTGCAAAAATAGTAGTTTAACAAAGAAATATTGCGGCTAAAATGTATTTGTTCTTAAAAAACAACAATATATCACAGAGTCCTTGCATGTATTCTGTACATTGAATCATGAGGGTCCCTGTGATTCCCAACCCAGGTTTGTGAGTACTTCAGGAGAAAGGCACTAGAAGAATGAGAATACTTCTGTTAGACCCAATGAACTCTGAGCTCTCATGAGAGGAGAGTTGCTCATTAACTTGTTCAAAGATTTCACACTTCATTAACAGTCTCAAGCATAACAAAGTCAATTTACTAAAGTACTGAATTTCATAAACACATGAGGCTTCAGTCTGGCTTTGATCGTGAAGGATTAGGCTGACAGCAGACTGGACATGAGCCTCGCTGCTCTGGGGCTGTACAATGCTGTTTCCTATAACCTGGTGCCACTAGGACACACTGGTTTATGGCAGCTCCAGTAGATACAAGCAAACACTGGACATTCTTCTAAATACCCGGACATGGATATGAGGAACAAACTCTGTACTTCTGAGAACAGAAGTACACACACATACACACAAACAAATTGCAGCAGGGTTGCCTCTCCGCAGATCTGACCTGTAACTTGGTCTGGTTTAGTTTCCATGAAGATAGAAATGTTTAATAGACCAGAAAACTTACACAATGCACCTTTAAGCAGCTCTAGCAGCTGGGACTTGGGACTTCAGCGACCACCCTTTTCTCATAGAGTTACAAAGTTGGCAACTCAATATAAAGTCTCATAAACACAATTCAATTTAAAACAAGACAAAAATAAACTTTCTTGTGTACTTTTTTCAAGCCCTTGTTTTAATGTTTTTTCTTCTTCTCTGCATGATTCTAGACGCACCCAACACTCATGTGAATATCTTAATGTCTACAATAATTCTCCAAGCACATTATAATTCACAGTATGGTGCATGTCTTATCTAATTTAAAGCTTAAATGGAACACTAAATAGTATTTGTCTTATATTCTCACACATGATTCTTCTTCTAAACAAACATGTGAGCAGAAGATTTTCCTATCTGCTCACCAGGACCTGTGTTACCTCTCATGTGTTGTAATGGCTGCAAGGCAACAGTTTGTATTTATTTGGATCACAATTTAGCAACAGTACCCAGCATGCATCCTGAGTTGATGTAATTCATCTTGCCCGCCATACACTCTAATATCTATCCATTACCTTCTGTTATTTCACATTAAAAGTGTTATGTTGAAATAGGTGGTCCTGGCTCTGTAACTATTGTCTATCTTTGTATTCTGCAAAATGCCAGTATTTTTACATTTTGTAATAATATGTTTATCTCCATCTTGTGGCCTTAAAATACAACTTGTAGATGACATCTGTGTGACACCAAAGAGCTCTCAGACATGCATGAAGACAAAAGCAGCAATTTTGCAAATCAGACATACACACAGAAGGATAGATGCTGTATAGGCTAAGCCAAAGTAGTTTAGTCTTGTAGGGCAGACAAATGAAGTGGTGGGCATAAAAGAGTAGGTAGCCTTGGTAAACATTGCAGTCCATTAAGTTAGTTAGTGGAAGTTAGAACAGAGATGACTAAACAGGTGATTAACAAGGGAAGCTTACTGTGTAAAAAGTGCCTGCTACAACGAAACGTATCTTGAAGCAGACAAATATTCATCCCATAACAGCTACATTAGAGTGATGACAGGCCTGGCAGGGGCAGTCTCTGGGGTTGGTCAGTCTGTGAAACAGAACATACTTTAAACTACTGTGACCACAAGTTACATTGTCAACTGTCATGCTGTTGACCACAAATCTCCTGGCACAGGTAACACTATAGAATAAATTGGTATTTACACTAAGTAGCATTGGTGTTTTGTAGCCCTATAATAAGTAATGTGCAGACGTGCAGTTCATTGATGAAAAGATTAATCTAGAGGAGATAAAAGTATGCCAATTTTTTTTTTTTTTTTCCAGTTCTATGCTTACACTTACTCAAATGAACTAACCACATCAAATCACATAGATCTATAAAGCACATTAAAAACAACCAACTTATATGTTACTAAAGTGCTGTACCAACAATAAAACCTTAGAACAATAAAAGAACAGAACTAAAATCATACTAAAGGCTAAGATGTCTCTCTCCACCTGGGATCAAATGTCAAAGAAAAACAGTGTCTTGAACAGGGATTAAAAGTGCCTTAGTGATTGTGCAGTTTAATGTGCTAAGATGATGTTCTACAGCAGGGGCTCTACAACAGAAAAGGCCTTCGTCCTTGTCTCATAATGGTTGAGCCTGTGTTGGGTCTGGTCGGTGCTTCAGAAGCTGCCCACTGTTTACCATCTACAATTAAACCTCCGAGTCATCTGAGCCAACCAAACCACAACACACACACACACAAACACACACACACGCGTGGCTTGTTGATTGCTTCTTCTACTGAATTTGAACCTTTATGTCATTGTTTTATTGACAAAATCAGAACTAGTATTTTTCACCATGAGGTTCAGTATATTTGTGTGTGGCCTTACATTTAGTGTAAATAGTAGTGGAATACAGCCTTCAGACTGGTTTTCACTGCAGTAAAAAGGTGGGTGCATGTTTACTGGACACTCAAGCACTGCACTTGAGATGAATGAGTGTTTAAAGAATGCCCAATTTGAAGCAGGTGGGTCTGTGGAACGTATTTGGGCAGAGGCAGACAAAAGACATGAGTGCTGTGCACACGCAAAACAATGTACAATCACAACTGCCAAGGTGGAAAATTTTAAATATGATCACTGTAACAGTGTGAAAATCATATTTACATACACAATTTTGAGAGAGAAGAGAATTCTGAAATTATTATTAGTTGCAAATGCGTGTTTTATCTGTAAAATGTGAATTATTTTATTTTGTCCCTTTGCTTATATACTAACATGCAGTATAATGTATTTTAGCTAAAGGCTACATTGAGGCAAGCAATTAAAGATTATAATGACTGGTGTGTCGAACTTACATGAAAAAGCACAACAATTCATTCGCTCGTTTCCATGCTTTCACGGTGACCTCATTCCTGGAGTATGCACAGCAGGCACATTTCGAAACTAATGAAAGAACATCTTAACTAAGATCCAATGAAGGTATGATCTGTCATCACACTGCCACTGGTGACCCTTCGAAAGAAATATTCACATATGTATTAAATCCATAGTGGGAAAGAATGGCCGACAATACAGACTACTATAAAATATAGTTTTGCATAGAATGACATGACATAATTAACAATACTGGCACTAAAACAAACAATAAACTTAAGCCTTAACTCTGCTAATCTTTTAAGCATAAAGTCTCCACAGTCTCTGTTTAAGATGAGACTAGTGGTAGATGCAGAGCAGATGCAATTATTGACTTTCTTATGGACTGTAATATTATATAAATCAATATCATATAATCCATCTTGTAAATTCAATCTGGTCTCTCAAAACACTGACACACAGACTCAGTACTCATGACTCTCTTTGTAATCCCATTTGATCTGACTGGGATGTTACAGAAGTCCGCGCTAAGTCCTAGACCTAGCCCCATCTGCTGCCTTTGAACCTTTAGCCAAGAAAGTGTAACACCGCGTGCCTTTTTCTTTTGACTTTCAGGAATGACCAGGAACATTTTAATGATAAAATTGGGGGGGCAAGAGGAGCAGAGCAGGGAGTCTGCAATATTGTCAACATGCTGTTAATAAGCTACAGCAGCGGCCGAGGTGTTTGAATTCCTGATGTCCAAAATGTGAATTCTTGTGAGCCATGGGGGAGATGTTTGGGTACATTACAGGTTATTGCTGGGTTGAGTGACGCGCTGGATTATCGGCTGATGGGAGAAATTTAACAAAAGCTTTCATCGACACAGTGGGGGCAGTGGCAGAAATGTTTGATGTCTGAGAGAATTGAAGACAAGGTGAAGGGAGAGAGGTGGAGGAAGCAGGAGGTCGAGTGCCTGTAATGCAGGGTGATTACACAGCAGCAAGTGGAACAGGACTATTGTTGAGCACATGGTTCTCTTGTGTAGATCTACAAGGCTCAGAAAGTGCTGTTCTGGACGGCTCTTCAATTTGTACCAGGGGTGCAGGACATAGTTTCCAATATGATTTTATTCAGGACTTTCAAAATTCAAACAAAGCATGTCACTCTCAGGTTGCAGATAGTGTTTCGGCCTTATTGCTTTTGTCAAATCTTAGGGATGAGAGCTGATTGGCTGTCCTTTAGGGATCCATTCTCCTTCATGTCTCCATCTGAAAAAAGAAGTACCCAAAAAATGATGGATGAAAAAATGCCCAATCATGATGTAAATTGCTATTTGTAGGGAGATGATTTATGGTTATTTGTATAATTTTGACTCTTGTTTTGACTGTGATGTTTGTAATCTGTTTGTGAATGCTCAGTTTGCAGGTGCACATGCTCAATCCCACATTAAGTGTTTGTAACAGTGAGCCCTCTAGACCCAGACACTTGGAACACTGTGATTCAAACTGCCTGGACTTGTTTCTGTAATAAAACATGAGAACAAATAGCTTTTAGAGTTGCACGAAAATCAACTGGTTTAGAACATATTAAATAACCAAAAGTTTAATATTTTATGTAATGTATCTACTTACTGTATACATATTTTTGTTCATAAGTGGTGATTTATTTTAATTGTATATACAGTTGTTTCATCAAATGATCAGTTTGTAATTTGATCATTTAACAATGCACTGTTGTCAAGGATAAATTATATTCCAACTAATAATGGACAGATTAATTTGACACACAAACCCACATTTGCCCTTTTTCTTTTAGGCCATTTCTTGGGAAACCGCAGTGTGCTGGACATCCTCAGACAGGAAGGCTATGAGATAATCCATACTCCATCAGACCACCAGGAACCAGACCGCCAGTAAGTAACACATGAAGTGTCATTTTGCATTGTTACACAGAAACAATATGGAAATCTTAAATATGCAGTACACTTTGAAGGCTAAACGCACTGTGAAACCCTACCTCACAAGTCGACTTCCCTGACACCATGATGAATGGGGGTAGATCCGGAGCATGTGTTCAAGTGTAGCATTGTCCCAATAAAAGCTGCTTGAATGGGCTGTGGAGCAGAGCATTTGTGCACTTTTAGTCCTTGGCAGACACTGAGATCTATGTGAACATACATCAAGGAGCCCATCAAACAGACAGATAAAACCAGGCCAGCAACCAGTCAACATCTGTATTACTTCTACAAGGCTTTAGCTTCATCAGATTTATTCAAGTGAAATGTAGAAAGACTTCACTTTGTACCCTGTAACAAATAAACTTGAGCTATGCAGGAATCCTTTGATACCTCATCAGCTCCCTCCTTTTTATGTTTGCTTCACTCTTTGCCAAAGGAAACCTGCCAGTGGAGGTCCTGCCCCTTCTCATGCATGCACACACAAGACACCTAGCATAGTGAGTTGGCTCGCGTCGTACCACAAATCCACACAAGGGCTCCTAATACATGTGTACCCCCTCTCACCTTTACAGTTTTATCCATGCATATTTAAAATGCTACCAACAGCCACTTGACTTGATGGAAAAACAAGGCCTAAGATGAGGGTTGCTTTTTATAAAACAATAAGGCAATTTGACAGCAATTTATGGGCGTTACTAACTAGACAAAATAAAATTACATATTAATAATAGTAATTTTACCTGCCACTCATATCCACTAAAAATTATAGGCTAATAGTAATCTGAAACTCAGCACTTGGGTTGAGCAGTCTCCCATCTCACTACAAATCAGGTTCATGTTTAGCTCTCAAGATCAGACAAGATCATGCATTCTCAAGAAATTAAAAGTAGGATACTACTTTAGAAGGAGAATTAAATATGTTCTGCCTTGACCCCTTTGAAGTGCAGTTTATTTGAAAAAGTTACCTGCATCTAATCTATCAAACTTATCACTAGCAGCCTCTGAGCACAGTGGACAGAACAGTGAGGTTTAAACAAGTGGACAGACATGAGCGGTTTTGACCATACATTTTGGACCTGGCTGATGCGTAGTGACAGGATATGGCTAAATAGTAGGTGTTTATGGAGAACGTTGGACTTCCTCTCACCAGATGGAAAAAAGGTCTCATGTCTGATTATATGACTGACGGTTGGAGCTGAGCAGAGCAGCTTGACCGCAGCCAGAAGCTATCATCACACTGACCAGGCAAGGCATTATGGACGGAATAGAGGGCTTTAGGGCTAAAAGTGCTATTACAGAACCATCAGTGTTATGTCTACAGAAAGATTAATAACTGTTTTAACCGTATCCACTTCTTGTGAAATGTTGACATAAAGACCTACCACAAGCAGGTCCAATTTAGAGGCTCATATTATTTAGCAAACCTAGTATTATGTCAACTTGGGTTCAGTTCAACCATTTAAACTGACTTAAGTAACAGACAAAAAATAAGATCATGTATTAGTGGCTATACTGGCTACAAAATAGCCAGAACATTGTGATTATTTGACATGTATGTGAACATTTGGCCATTATGTCATTAAACATTTTCAGTGTGTGTGCATATAATAAAACTAAAAGCTTGGCTCTGTATATGCAGTTATAGCTTCCAGATGCATCCCATAGGCTCACATAAAAGTCATTCCAAAAGCATGTACAACAATTACAGAAAAAAATAAATACATAGTCAAAGTGTGGTTTGTGAGCTGAAAAGAAACCAATAACAACATTGTGCAATACAGAAATACTGTATCAGCATATCACTAAGGTGTTATGAATTATGTTAAAGAAGTGGTATTATGCAAAATTGTTTATTTTTTTAAGCCTATCACTACGTTAGAAATGTTCCCTCATCAAAAACATTTTAAATGTCATCCATGCACATTTGAGTATTTTAGCAATCCCTCCCAGCCCTATTCAAACCCTACATTTAGCTGTAACATTCTGTACAACGCTCAGCAAAACACACAACAATTTTCCATAAATATACAGAACATGATATAGAACTACACAGAGCAACTTGACAAACTTGATGCTATTTGAAGTAGTTTCATTAAGCATGCATGCTGTTTGTTTTGTGATTGTGCTCTGAAGGGGAGCAACTTAATACAAGAAAGGAGGGGGGGGACTCAGCATCAAAATTAAAGTGAAACTTATAAAACATGTTAATATATAGCCCATCCATCCATTTTCGTCCGCTTATCCGGGGCCGGGTTGCGGGGGCAGCAGCCTAAGCAGGGACTCCCAGACTTCCTTCACCCCAGACACGTCCTCCAGCTCCTGACCCCGAGGCGTTCCCAGGCCAGCCGAGAGACATAGTTCCTCCAGCGTGTCCTGGGTCTTCCCTGGGGCCTCCTCCCGGTGGGACATGCCCAGAACACCTCCCGAGGGAGGCACCCAGGAGGCATCCGGAACAGATGCCCGAGCCACCTCAACTGGCTCCTCTCGACGTGGAGGAGCAGCGGCTCTACTCCGAGCTCCTCCTGTGTGACTGAGCTCCTCACCCTATCTCTAAGGGAGCGCCCAGCCACCCTGCGGAGGAAACTCATTTCGAGCACTTGTATCCGCGATCTCGTCCTTTCGGTCACTACCCAGAGCTCATGACCATAGGTCAGAGTAGGAACGAAGACTGATCGGTAAATCGAGAGCTTCGCCTTTCGGCTCGGCTCCCGCTTCACCACAACGGTCCGATACAGCGACCGCATCACTGCCGAAGCTGCACCAATCCGCCTGTCAATCTCACGTTCCGTCCTCCCTCACTTTATATATACATATTCACTTTAATATATAGTTTTCAGTAAATATACCATATTTCAAACTGTAACAAGTAACAAGTAAAAAGTAACATGGTGATCTAAATATGTTATGTCTTAGCTGCTACTACCCATTGTATTGGCTACGAATACATCACTACTAATACCTTATACTACTTAATTTCTATATTACTTCACTTAATTAAATTGCTTGCAAGATTTGTACATACAAACATTTACAGAGCTAATTTTGACTTTACTCTGAATGAAAATGGCATAATTTATGTGGTCAATCTTGCACCACAAATAACTATAACACATTTTTCTCAGTGGCTTCACAAAGAACCGTGTTATATGTTCACTTGGTTTGGATCTTTTAGATGTCCCACCTTGAAGTACACTCACATGGTACATTACAGTAAGGAAACAGAGGGATCAGGAGAAAGTATGAGTAATGTGTACAATAAAGAGGTGCACAAGGCAAAGTGTGAGAAATTGCGATGAATGTGGGTGGTCCGCTTTGGGCACATGTCAGTTTTGACATAGCTGTGAAGTCTTAAGAGTTACAACTTCCCCTAATGCTGCCTGCTGCGTATTTCTGCCACTCTCCCCACTGTTTATTGGCTTAAGCTTCCTTTGTGGTGTCCGTGTCCTTGATTGAAGTACATTTGTAAATGGAAAGCAATTGAGCGGTCAGAAACCGCAAACAATAACATTCACTGGCAGCTGCGTGAGATTTTTATATGTTTGAAAAAGATTATGTAACTAGTCTAATGGTTCGATAATTAAAGTTAACATCTATCCATAAATCAAAGCAGTTATCCTTATAGAGACCAATACAATACTTAAGGTGCACTATGTAACTTTTCTATTGGGGGAGTCTAATGCTTATCTCCATAGAGATATTAGTTCTTTGTCATCAATGATTCACAGTATAGCATTACATGTACCTATTTCCATGGAGACAAGTAAATGGTGCCACCAGGCCAAGAGTCAAGTCAGATCTGCCATGTGAGAGGAGACCCTGCTCATAAGTTTTTTTTGTTTGCAATCTGTAATTAAATAAATGCAAGATAGTTAAGTTTAATGCCATATTGTGAAATACTCCATTCAAAGCAATAACATCATAGAGACAGCAGATAGTGTAGAGATCAACCAATATTTTTTCATAGCTGCTGCGGATTGTTTAGAATCTAGAGCAACCAATTTTTTCTAAACTCTGCTGATATTTTGGGTAGATATTTTTAGGGCAGATGTAGATTTCCCCCAAAATATGTGATTTAAATTTATAACAAACTCACCCACAAACCTATAAAAGAGTAGTGTAGTCGCATTTTATGCAGTAACCTTTTGCAATGTTCAAATAAAACTTTGTGCAAATTCTTTAGATCATTTCAAAAAAATAAAAATAAAAAATTTGATTGCTTAGCTAATATTAGCTGATACTAAAATGTGAAATTATTGGTTGATCTTTACCCCCTATGGGAAAAGTTAACTTAAGTGAACTTTTAATTAATAATTAATAATTTTGAGTGTAATGGAAGAATATTTTCATCTTTAATAGAAACATAGCCACAGAGGAGGCAGAGAAATTGAGCCAGGAGAGTCCAGACGCAAGTACAGTAGCCCCGACAAGTTGGATGACTAGCCTTCCCAGTGGACACCGAGCTGGAGGAGCCAGAGAGCTTACCTGGAGAGGGAGACGAGGAGCTGCCCCATATGCTTCTGCCTGACAGTCTGAGCCAACTGGAGGAGTTTGGACGACACAAACGCCCACGTAAAGCCCACCGTGGCCATGGCAGACCCCGCCTCTTCAGTGACTTGTGGGTTCGCATAGGGGACAGGTAAAGACTGCACACATTCACTTTGATCAAATTAATTATTAAAAAGTGATAACACATTGATTGTTATGATTGAAAAAAAACTAACCCAAGTCTTTGACCATTTAGCTTTTCTTTTAATAACATGGCATTTTTAACCTTGCATTGCAAGATGGATTTTCGCAATATTTAGTTCACAGACTCACAAGAATCTATCTTGGCATACTCCCGCTACTGCAATAGGTCCCACCTGGTTGGGGCACTGATCACAGAGCACTACTGAGGTTTGGGATTGAGGTCTGGGGGGAGACCAAAGGCTAACACCCAAATAAACTTTAAGCAATAGCTTTCCAGACTGATAACTGTGTAGAACACATTCTGCTATGGCTACAGTATGCAGAGAATACCCACAATAAAGGGAAATATTTATGTTTAGTGTGTGTTGTCTGAAAGTAAAGCTTGTGCCAGCCTTAGCCCTTCCATCTGAATGATGAGTTTTGATCATCCAATGAGAGCAAATAGACATAGAAACATGTTTAATCAAAACAACACAAATTTCATTAACTCATTGCACTTGTCCTTGTTGCAGCACTAGCCCTCCTCCTAATGTGAGAATTATTAATGGCTACATCACAGTGGCACCCCCTCTGATGCAGCAGGAACAACACATGCGTCTGGACGTCCACAGCCCAGAGACACCGCCACAGCGCACACGAGACAGTCCACACTCAGGACAGCCTGCTCTTGTCCACTGCTCCCTCCTGTTCTATCTACTGGTCTGGATCTTATCACATGTACTGCTCCTCTGCTGACCATAAGACAGAAGAGACAGACACACAGGAATGTATATGATAAACACAACAGACTGGCCACAAGCACATATCAAGATGAGTCTGGATTCTTTGACAATCCTGTATTTCAGAGAGTCTTCAAATCTTGATGGAGTTTTCAAACCTCAAAGTATTATGATAGAGCCACGTTGGCATAGCACTATAAAAACTATGAAGACGATTCTGTGGTGGAAATAGTTTAAAAGCTGCTTATAATAATAATGAATAAAATGTTGATCACAATAAAAGGCTAGAATTGTATGTTAAGTGCATACAATCACATAGCACACTGTGTAGGGAGAGCGGTTACCCTGATTTGTAAATTGTGCATTTGTTAATAAATAAGTATTGTATATATTTATTGTTTCTGCAGAAAGAATATATTTTCTTGCTTTGAAGACAAATTGCAATAAAATATTCAAAAACAAATTTTGTGTTTCTATTGTTATAAGACGGAGAGCACACTAAATCTTACATAGTTTATGAGTGCTAAAAGTAATAGGAAGCTGCCACCTATTGGTCAGTATTATATGTGCAACTATCCTTACACTGCTTCAGAATATGATAATTAAAATCAAAACAAACCCATGTGAACATATAATAAAAACAAAAGTATTGTTTTTAAAAAGGATAAACTATCTACAATATATTTTCATTTTTAGCTTGATCCAAGCACATATAATTACGGTGTGGTAGTTTTGTTAACGCACTGGGCCACAAATCCAATCTTACAGGGCCTTACGAATCTCCAAAGCGTCTGGAGATGTAAAGCACGTCAGTCATTAATTCCCCAATGCTTCAGTGGTGGTGATAAGCTTCTGTAGCCATAGCTGCACAGGCTGGACCAAAGACTACCAATCATACACACCAAACAGGCAAGATGGGAGAAGCAAGTGACTGGAACTGAGATCAAAACGCAAACCTTCAGGCTTGTTTGGGGAACACTGCTGCGACACGTGCCGTGAGAACCAAAACGGCCAAGTGATCCAAACACTATATGGCCTATAGGATGAATGAATGTTCAGCTGTCATTCCGCTTTATTGGCCTGTACACACACACGTACACTGAAAAAGAAGAAATATAAAGGCCTACTTGACATTTGTGGACCGAGAGATTTTACAATCCTGATTAATACACTAAATTGTGCATCGCCACTGCAGTACACACAATGACCAGTAAACGGCGCTACAATCTAACAATATTTTTTGGTACTACAGACCCAAATCCTGCGTCGTGGACACGTGTAGACCGTAAACGAGCTAATATTAGTTATATATATATATATATATATATATATATATATATATATATATATATATATATATATATATATATATATATATATATATATATATATATATATATATATATATACACACACATATACATAAATACATAAAAAAATAAAATACTATCGTCTCTAAATAAAATTAAAATAAATAAAATTCAAACGTGAATTAAAAATAGCATTGTCTCATGGCTGAGGACCAGGCCTATTAATATTTAGAAACTTTAATTAGTTTTGGGTGTAGGTTTACGGCCCTATATGTTGTTTCTGAAACTATTAACAGAAACGTTTCAGTTAGGACTCGACCAAATGTATGACCTTTCTTCAGACTTGATCATTATGACTAAACTGAGCGTTAATGCAGGCCTGAATCCAGACAACCCCCTACACAGCTATAATTAGTGTATTAAAATACACCGCACTATCACCCCATAAAGTAGCCTATAAACTTTAATTATAATTAATTCAGTTAAATGTACACAGTCATGCTGTAAATTAGCTTTTTTGGTCTTATTTGAACTAGGCCTACACTGTACTTAACCAAGACCAATATTGTGATAAGAAAATATGCCAATAATACAATTTTCTACAACTTGCAAAATAAGTAGTTATCATTTATTATATTTTATTATCTTCAAATGTTTTTCATTCAGTCAGTGAATAGGCCTAAATAATTAAAATAGGCTAAAACAGTAATCAACAGATTTAAACTTTTTAAGTCAATTATTAATCAAGTGCAAGATAAAAAACAAAACAAAAAAAATGCATTAACATAGAATCAAAATTGTAGATAATATAAAATATACACATTACTCAAAAGTATGTTTATTTAGCCTAATTATTAATATGAATAATAATCTTTAAAACACTGTTTTAACAATGTAACACTGTATTTGTAAATACAGGTATGACATTAATACATGATAATTGTGTGTTATCATGCTAATTGCATTTTGCAATATAATCATCAATATCATTCAATAAGATAAGAAATTAGGTGAACATTTCTACTATCTAAACTATATCACTGTAGAAAATTTTTTCTTACCTGGCTTGCTGAGGGATGGATGGACAAAGTGAGGAGCAAGTTTTTTAAAGCAAACAGCGTTTGTGCCCCTTAAGCCGAGACAGGACAATATTTGCCTTTGCTACAATACCATTTTCCCTGGGCTTGGGGCTGTTGTTTGAGGGAGGGGGGGCCTTGACAGGCCTTGCACCGCTCAGTGGGCTGACCCTTGCTCAGCCGGGATGTGCTGCCTGCCGCATATAAATAAAAGATTACAGTGGAAAAATCAATTTCTGAGCAAACTCATTAAAAATGCCCCTCACCTTAAATGTTTCCCATTTCCTTCCATTCAACCTGTTAGCGCTGCTGTCCCTGACACCCCCCCCCCCCCCTTCTCCTGGCCATCCTCTCTCGCCCTGTTGCTCTCCCCCGGTGGTAATTACTTGCACAAGTCGTTTTTTGCCCTTTGATTTGCACCGTTTCACAAATGAAGGTTAAGTTTGTTTAACCGTGCAGGATTTGCCAGTCATGTTAAAGCATATAATGTGGCAGGTCCTTTGGTTTCCTCACACACCTCCGGCACCACTAAACCATTCTCCTTCCTCTGTGGCCTTTAGATCTCAAGGTTAAGACTGAGCTGTCCCAAGAACGTCTGCAGTGTATCACAGTCCACACAATGGCAAAAAGAAAGTGGGAATGCACTCTGTAAAAGACGATTCAAAATAAACATACAGATGCCCATTTCACCATTAAGTCAAAAACATTAAATTCTAATATTTTTAATTCAGGACTAAAATCAATGCCTAAATGCTAATTTTATCAAGCTACAAAGGCCTCTATTCATTGATTCCTGTTATTTGTGACATTTTCAGGGCTTTTCACCAAGAGATATAATATTTTGTTTATTTCTATAGCAACAAACATAATTTGTCATCATCCTAAAATTCAGTTAAGATACACAAAACTTTGTAGAGTGAAGTATCCTTTGTTGTTGAATTATCATTTTGCCAACTTCTTTAACATAAAATCCAATAACTTTGTAAATATTGTATTTTCCAAAGCAGTATTTTTCTCAGACCACACAATTCTTTATACTCTAATGAAACCCCTTTTCATAACAGAAGACGAGAGATTAAACAAACTTCTTCAAGGCCATAGCACTACTTACAGTGTCCATTATTAGTCCAAACAAACAGGAGTAAATAGTAATTCACTGAACCACACAATAGCTGTAGGCAGGAGCTTGTTGTGCGGGCACATTTCAGCAGTGCACTCGGCTGGAGATCAATACTGAGTGAAAGTGACCGGAGCCAAGGTGAGCATCGATCCCCCACAGCTGCAGCCTTCAGACCTTCTCAAGTGTGTGTCCTCTGATTGTAGCAGCAGCAGTCACTCAAACAGATCACAGCAATAACACGCGGCCCAGTTTATCCGCAACGAACAACACAAAGGTTGACTTTCACATTCACACACATGTTTTTGTCTCTGTTAATCAGCCCTATTGTGGATATATGAAACTCTGTCCTCTTTTCTTTACCTGCTTTGTTATTAGAAAAATGTTGTTTGTGTACTAGGTCCAAGCAAGAACTTGCATTCTGTGAAATATGTGTAATTTTATTAGAATACATTTGAGAATAAACTGTATTGTATTAAAAACACCACCATATTAGGTATTTAATAAGAGAAAGGCAGAATTATTTCCTTTGAGGTCCACCAGGTTAAAAATTAGAAACAGCTTAAAAGACACTTAAAAGAATAGATTTAAATTCTAGTCGTTTTGATCTCCTAACTTAATTTGAAAATGCCATTAGATTGTGTGTGCCCTGTGTGTAAGGAAAGCTCTGATTTCCCGTCTAGCTAAGGACTGCCATAAAGCTTTGGAAAAACAAAAGTGTGCTGATCCCAGGGCAGCTCTTCCTCCTGAGATAATCTGTCTGATAGTGGGGTTGTTTAGTGAGCTTCGTTAAACTCATGGCTCATGTTTGTTTGTGCTGGTTCAGACATTATTTTCGTGTATCATTGTCTCTTAACGCTCTGTGGCTTTGAGCCTGTGGCCTTGAAGTGTAAGAGCACAGGTCAGGTGCAAGTGTTCACTACAACATTATCCAAACACTGCACTGGGTTCTACACAATACGGAAGATTAATTTTCTTATTTTTATTAAACTTAGCATCTTCATTACACAAAAAATTTAAAATAAAAAATATATATATATATATCTTTGTTTAGTTTGGCTTAATTCTTTTGCTGCTGTTTTTTTTATTTTATTGTGATTAAAATAGGAAACCAATTAAGGAAGGAATTGGTTTTATTCTTAAGATTACCAGTGCACAATAATATAGTCAATAAATAAATAAATAAATACATAAATAAATAAATAAAAGCTATTAAATATGTTGAACAGAAGATGTATATTTTAGTTTTAATGTAACATCCATTTGTGCTGAATCTCTGCAAATACAAACTGAAATAGTTTCCCTTTGAAATGATTCATTGCCAGAAGCCACTGTAATAATATGATATTACAAGGTGGTATATTATTCCACTGACCCAAATGCTATAGTATGTTCTTTGCCACACATAGTGAAGAAAATAGTTTAAGTAAGGTAGTGTGAATATGCATGTGAGCTGAAGTCTTGTTTGCACAGTGTGTATTTTTGCACTGTATTGTGTATGTGTGAGTGTGACTCTTGTGTGTGCTTGTGTGTGCATCGTGGCCAGAGTGTTGTGTTTCACAGTTTTCTGCCATGATGCACTGCTTTATTATTCTGCACAAGGGGCACTTCACATGCGGAATGGGTTCTCTTTGATATCGACAGCAGCTTGAGGCAGAGAGTGCACTCAAAAACAGGCACAGGCGAATTTATTTGAGGGAAAAAACAGATAGTTGTGTGTACTTCCCGGGCAGTGGTCGGCGCACATGCGAAAGGAGCCAAAGCGCTTTGATGCTCCAGTGGTGACACTACACACACTAATGAAATATGGTAATTACAGAAACATGAAAGCC